AAAATATAATTATTAAATAATAAATTTAACATTTTCTATAATGAAATACATCATTGCATTTCCATCTCACTAACATAAGAACTTAAAAATAATTTACTTATATTTGAATGTGATATCATTTGTATTTTGCAATAATAAGATTAATATTTTATTTCTTAAGAAATTTAATATCAATATTCACGCATTTCTGTCGTTTTTCGTGCCCCAAACGGTAAAATAACGGATGTCGTACAACATACGACGCGCGCGTGCTCATGTAAAAATTGTCAAGCGTGCGTGCTGGAAGGATATTCATATTACTTATGTCCAAGTTGCTGATAGACATCGGTTGCATATTTTAAGAGAAAAATGATTGGAAAATATTTACGGTCATAAATGTGTCTGCAGAAAAAGCCTGAGAGTAAAGAAACTTCAAAAATCAAAATAGCGAAAATTCCTCTTTCATTTTTACGTTTATTTTAAAATGTTAAATAATTTCATCAAGTATTTTCTTTAACGACTTGGTGATTCATGCAGAACTAAAATCTACTTGATATGATAATAGTATATAAATGACTTTCAATGCTATCATTTGAAATCAATACATGAACTTTGCCTTCGACAATCATTTCGATTAATTTCACACTACATTCCCCAAATTTCGCTGATATTCCATTTTAATCACCCTTGTTGATATATGTTATCACATTTGGAGATTTAGTCGAAAATAGGATGGAATATGTAGTATGAACTGTAAACAAATCTTCTTTTTGAAATTCCATTTTTAAAATATGGTTCTGTATAAATGGATATTTTGTATAATGTGCGTCCAAGCTAAATAACTATCTATCTTAACCACACTAAGTTGAAGTAATAAATATAAACTAAATAGTAATATGAAAAATAACTATTAATTAAGAAGATATTTTTCCAACATTCTTTTGCACAAAAGAAGCTACAAATAAAAATTAAATGATAGCATAACAAAACAATGAGTTAACAGGAGATATTTTTCATTATTCTTTCGCACAAGAATAAAAATTTATTTACGTCTATAAACAAAGATTTGATTTTAAAAACAGTAATGAAGAAGAAAAATCTTAGGCACCTTAACGTATAGGCTCACAAATTTTAAAAATTTACGTAAAAGGAAAAATTTCAAATTTATTGCTAATATATCGATCTCTTGCTGCTAAAATAGAATAACACACTTGCGTTTAAATGCGTATTTACTTAGGTAATTCTGTGATAACTGTTAGATAACTGCGAATTGTATCACATAAAGATATATTACGCTAAATATTTTGTTGTCTGAAATATATTATTACATTAGTGTCTTACTTGGCGAAAAATTTAAGAATTTATTGAGTTTACCATAAAAAAAGTAAAACTTGTAAGGTTGTATATATATTGACTAATCAATTGTTAAAAATATAATTCATAAATAATTCGACTTAATTTATGATTAAAAAATTGCGAAAATAATTCGTAGGGAAAGCTATTCACTGTAAAAATTACTTTCTTTATGCAGGACGTATACATTTTTTTTTCATTTATCAAGAGAAATTTAAATATAAAAATAACTATTTGATAGGAAAATCTCAAAAATGAAAATTTTTCGGTGAACTCTTTTCATAATAGCTGTTCTTAAAATTTAATCTGGAATGTTTTAGTAATTTCGTATCACTTACAAGCAAACAAAAAAGGAATCCCCCAATATATTACTCGATCCAACATTTTATGGTTCTTTTCCAAAGAAACAAGTAAAACACTTGACAACCATACAGCTAAAACGTGATATTAAAATATTCAAGTCCAATAAACCAGTAAATGACTAAACGTTTATTAGGAATTACAGGCAGTCTTCCCACATGTCTTTTTTTGATACTAGAACATCCTTATAAGCAGTTAGATTCTGGTTTCGATTTCGGTGTCCATGTTTACTTTTGGAAATAAGCTAAATATCCTTCGTTTTACCTCTGCGCGTGACCATTTGATTTGCCAGTTTTGTGACAAGCTTATCAAAGTTTCTCTTTTGAGACTATGGAAGTTTAGTAGGGTTGTTGAGACATTAGGTATTTTGGAAACTGGAGACGTGAAAAATGAGCAGTGCCCTCGCTGGGACTAAATGACACCACGGACCTCTCGAATACGCGTCGAGCGTACTGACCACTACACCACGAAGGCATGTTAAGAAGGCGGGAGAAATACCGTATAGGTTGTCCTAGCAATTCTGCGCCATTACCTGCCTGCTTGGCCAGAAGATCCTCGACTTCAGTGCCCTGGATCTCTGTATGAGCGAGAACCTATTTTAGAGTGGGCCATTTTAATATAGGCATAACCAGAATCTGTTTTTGAATTCGGTATACCAAGAGACTCCTGCTATTTTGTCCTGAGATAGCCGTCAGACTTGACTCTGAATCACTGAGTATGGAGAATTTCTGCTGGTGATATGTGTTAGTTTGCTTAATTGCAGCATTGATAGCTAGAAGCTCTACTTAATATACCAAGTTCTTCAGTCCTAGTTTCCTCTATCAAATTCAAATATTACAGTTTTCAGTCTACAGAAGGCGCATCCCGTGACGATCTCCATTTTAGAGCCATCTGTAGAATGCCGTATGTTACTCGTATTTCTATTTTGGATTTATACCTTCGTTTATGTTGATGATTTCGGAGATGTTAAAAGCAGCTGGCTGAAAGTTTTTGTAGATGTTTTGCTCCTCGTAGTCCAAGTGGGTATAACTATGACCCCAGAGTGTTGACGCTTGACCCAGACTGATCACCCTTGCTACAGCTGCCTCTCTTGCAGTTACCCAACTATAAGATCTAGGGAAGAAGCTTAACACTTAACTTCTAACGAATTTTCTCCTTCTTTGCTGCATACCTTAGTGGTGCAATTTGAGGCATATATGACTAGCATTTGGAAACTCTGGAGTTTCGATCCGGTGAGGACATCGTTGGTTATTTATGCATTAAATTCCTTTCGACAACCCTTGCAGAAGTGGGGGCTAAACTAAAATATAATGAATAATAATTCGTCATTATCTTGATTTGGGGGACGGATGCCTCTTCTCCTATGTTTCCCTTTAGATGGGAGAAGAATGTAAGAAAATTCCACCTCCCTTCCTGCGTGCTTCTGCGTTGTAATTGAAAGCACGTCTTGCTAGCCTCGGAAGATCCTGAGTTCGAATCCTAGTGACAGTCCTAGTTAATTTTTAATGTTTTCTGTTTCTAACTAAACGATTCTTCAAAATATCACATTTCTGATATTATTTTAGCTTACTGCCGATGATATACATAGATTAACAACGATATGATTTTACTCCTTAATGATAAGAGTTAATGGTTCAGGTTATAAGGAAAGAAAGCTATTCATATTTATAAAAAATAATTTTGAAAGGAATAAGAAATGCTGCGATTTCCTTCAGTGAGTGACGAAGTGAAAGAGTCTTAGACAGTCATACATTGGAAAAGATAAATTTACATAGGTCTATTGAAATCGATTACATGGATATTCTGGCATATATTTAAACAGGATGAACCAAATTGTTATTATGTGCCAAAAGCATGGAATAATTTCAACCACTAGAAATCTGTTAAAGAAACGTGGTTGAGTACCTAATTTTTGGCAACAGATAATTGAGTTTCAAGAAATGTTCAGCAAAACTTCTATACCTAAATGACTTACACAAAAATTCCGCAGATGGCAGTGCATCTTAGATTTTAACTCCGGTTAACATTACAAGGTACTGAAAGTGCAGAGAATGAAGTGTTAATACCTAATTATAATGTTGGTAAATTGCAGTTTGTTAATCATTTTCTGAAGCATTAAACTGCCAATTTCAAATATTTTGTTGATAGCTTTCTTCTCCTCCAAGACAGCCTTTTAAATCTCATCAATAATGAATTACCTTAAGAAAGGAAAACCTATAAACATGAAGGCTGCATGTAAAAATCTATAGACACTTGTAGAGCAGACTTAGAACAGGCATTATAAAATTCAGCAGACTATTTAAAAAAGCATTGCATCCTGCATTAAAAGGACGATATTCTTCAAATTCTGGACTAGACGTTTTTACCTATTAAATTAATAGAAAGAGTCGATCGCTTGATCTCATATTCCATGACTTCATAGCCTTAGATATCTTTCTTCTAGCTTATGAAACATACAATACAAAGTGTTGAATACACTTTGTATTGTAGAGACATTAAGTAATTTTTGAAAGCAGGAAAGATGAAAAATTAATAAAGCCTTCTCTGGGAATTGAACCTCGGACCTCTGGAGTACCGGCCCAGGTGCACACCACCACACCCCGAAGGTACGCCAAGAAGGGGAAAGAAATATCTTATAGTATATTCGGAGCTTCTGTAATAAATGAAATACCTTGAAAATCTACTTCTGCTTCTCATCGAACCATCAAACGTATGATTTAGAAAATATTACGAGATGCACTAGTTGCAACTGATTATATGTTGCAATGTACACAGCAACAGATAGTCAGCTACACCGATATCACTAAAGCAAATACAGCCTTTCAGTGTTATTTGTATAGTAAAATATTATGATACATTGTTTAGAAGAAAAACTGTGGTTTTTATATATTAGCCACAGGAATTCCATACGTTAGTTTGAAGCACCTTATATGTCATTTAAGAAGTATTTATCCTTTTTTACATTATAAAAATAGCTCTACAAAGAATTTTTAGCATGCAGTTTCATTATTTTCACTGGGCTTATGATAAGTGGGAATAGTGTCACTGATTTTCCTTTTGTTCAAAAGTGTCTCTGTACGGAAAGTATTGCGAAACACAATACAGTAGGTTTCACTTCAAACGCTTATCAAACATTGAGGGAAAAAAACCCTTGGCTTCGCTTATCGTTCGCTTTTTTTCAGAATTACTAGTCAGGTAGCTTATCAGTTATCTTGAACACGCTATGAGCGATACAGATGCTATAATATTAAGTTGACACAGAAGTCCTCGAAATTTTGACGTTATCAGACACGCCCTGCACAAGATACGTAGATAAAGAGCAGGCGGACTTCCAGCGCCAACTCATTTTCAACTTCATTTCCAAACGTGAAGGCAGAGTACTAAACATTTAGAATATTTCAGAACGATGGCCTCAGTTTGGGTAATTTCCCTTTTATCGTTGTTCTTCGCTTTTGCGTCATGCGCTCCCATAACTTGCCCGACTATGGAAGACTTAAATCCGTGTTCTTGTAAACGAGTAGCATATGGTCTCCACGTCATTTGCGCCAATTTTAATTCTAGCTCTACTCTTTTGAAAGTCTTTAGAATCTTACGCGACTATCGAGTCAATAACGTCCTACTCCATGGCTTGTACATCACTGACGTGCTACCGAGTAATTTATTTGAGGGCCTGCAAATCAAACAACTGAGAGTGGAGAAATCCAAGTTGAAATTTTCACAGCTGGCCTTCACAGGTTTAGACGATTCTCTGAATGTCTTGAACGTTGCGCAGCATTCCATGATAAAAAGCAAAGAAGGTTTCTCTTTGGCCCGCCTTACAAAACTCGCGGAATTGAATGTCCAGTCGAATCACTTGGTGAAGATCAGAGACACATGGTTGAACGAAAAAACTCCTAATGTTAATACGATTATTTTAGACGACAATGATATTACGGAAGTCGAAAGTTTTGCCTTTTCCAAGCTCCCACAATTGAAGACAATATCTATGGCTGACAACCGAATTAAGACTGTTAAAAGGTCGATGTTCCCACGCCCTGCACAATTTCTTTTTAGGATGGATCTAAGGTAAAAACAAATTTCATTTTTAATTATCTAAGGCTGCGTTGTACTTCTTGTAAACCTTTAGAAATTAAATGACAGTTTTAAAATTCTTCATGTTTAAGACTTCTAAAATGAAATCTTTGTAGAGGAAAAATGTGTATTGTTTTCAAGGAATAATAAATCTTTAATGTCAAATTCACTTGTCATTGCAAACTGTAGGAAGGAAAATTTAATATTGTTACTGAAGATGCTTCTAATTATATAATATTTTAATTGTATTTTTTCGGCAAAAAAAATTAATTAGGTGAAGAGTCACAATTTACTGTAGCAAAACACTTTTTCTTTACACAAGCTGCATTCACATGTAATTACAGTTACATTAACAGCACAAATATATGTTAGCTCTGTAATGTAATATGAAGCTATACATAATATTTCATTCAATATTTATAAAGCAAATTGCCATTAAAAAACCCTTTTTTTCTCAAAGCAATTAATTGTTAAAGAAACTTTTGAAGCATTTATCTTCCGAAGAATAAATCCCCTTTATTGATCTTACTAAAATACAGCCCCTGTAAAGATTAATTATAGAAATCGTATTAAAGCTAAATACACCTCATTTGCATAAACGTATATTAAAATAAATTTAACGATATTTCTCAAAGGAAAACTAAAATATTCAAATAGAAATATCAACTACGGAAATTATAAAAAAAGTTATGAGTGCAAGCCTGTAGACATTTTCCTGACATAAATGTATTTTAAATTAAGATGAATATCATTCCAAAATAGAGCTTCTTTCATTTCAGTCATAATATAATTGAAGAATTGCCACCCGACTTTTTCTTTGAAATGCCTTCGTTGACTGAAGTGATATTTTCTGGAAACGAATTACAAACATTGCCACAAGCTACTTGGACGCCGGTGTGGGAAAACCTGAATCAAGTATTCCTGTATAGTAAGTATTGTAGCTGATTTAAGAAAATATTTATTTTGCATTTAGATTATAACATCTACGTGAAACTGAATTTCATATTATATTCCTTAATTCCGAAGTTATTTTATGAAGGTTTGAATTTTTTTACTAATTAGTTCAGAATTTATAAAATACATGATCAGAAGTAATATTTTTTTTCTCTTTCCAAATGTATGCGTTACTAGTGTTACACAACGAGCATGCAAACGCCGAAAATTTGTATTTCACATTTATGTAACATTTTGTGAAAAATATATGAAATCTTATATATAAACAATTCTAAATCAAGTTACTTTGAAAGCTGCTTAAAAGCACTTTAGTTCGCTAGATTTAGGTGCCTCAGAATAAGAATGAAACTCATTTCTTTGGTCTTTAAAGTAATCTGTCTTTTCTTAGCAGATTTTTAACAACATTGTTATAGCTTTCATTAGAAATCATTTTAATATTTTAAAGAATGCCGGATTATTTCAAGTGTATTTTTCTAATACCTTTCAATGTGTATATGAAAATATAAATCTATTTAATAGTTATACTTAAACGGCAAATTAAAAATTACTTTACAACAGGTTTCGAAAGAAAATTGCACTGATTGCAGACTTATAATTTATTGATATATCATAATGTGAGTTAAACTTACTATCTTTAAATATTAAAATATCCTTTTAGCAAATTTATATTGTAAACTATAAAAAGATAATCTTAACGAGATGCATTTCGGTTCACTTTCATAGCTCAGAACGCAGTGAAAATTTGATTCTATATATGTATATATATATATATTACTTTACCTCCTTACTGGCAAAATGTTTTGAATACAGCGATAGCCTTATGCATTATTTTGTGTGCATATATGGAGAATGTAAGTATTAGCGAGCTTCTTTCTATGAAAATATCTCTCTCTAGTCACATAATTCTTTATTTTTCCTAACATTTTTTTCATGATATAATAGCGGGATTTGTAATTGAATGTTTTTCTTTTGTTGAAAGAGTAAATTTCCAAAATTTAAAGAATTAAAATATTTTGTGATAGCATATCATGTTCTTCCTCCATCAAATGTTTTAAGCAAATGATTCAATTCATTTCATATTATATGCATCTAAGTAAATATAGGATTTGTGTAAAATAAACACTGATATATATGTGTGTGTTATGCGCAATATTTTAATATTACCTGGTAACTAAACATATCGTGAAAGCCCTGTTATACATTATTACATTTCGTTAATAGTAATTAATAAGCAGTTAATTCAGGCACATAAATATATTCTTAAAAAGTAAATTTTAAAATTCAAACGTTTATCGTTATGTGTAAGTAAACTCTCTGAATATCAAATTTCTTTCTTTAAATATATTTGAACAATATGCAGAATTAATGATTATGAATACTCGATTGTCAATAAATATTTTATAACAGGCGAAGTGCCGTGGAATGTTTTATTATGGGGGTGTATCATGTGCCTCATAAAACAGTCTTGCATTTAAGAGGTATAAGCAACCCCTATACCGACAATGTTAAATTGGCCATTTTCGATGTACCTTTTCTCAAAATCTGCTGTACATACATGCTTGAAATTTTTTTGTGTACTTAAGGTATACCTATATTATTATACTGAAATGAGCTTTTGAAACATTTTGAATTTTAGAGTAATTTACAGAATATTTTGTTAGGCATAGTGAAATTTAGCACTTTTTTCACACAAACAAAATTAAAAACATTTTTATCAGTTATCACAAAGTCATAAGTTTCATTATCATAAGTTTATCATAAAACGCTCATTTCAGTAAATATTAGGAAAGCTAATAAATAAGCCGTAAAAATGTTAGACAAAAATGTGAGCGGTAGTTCCTGAGAAAAGATACATCGAGTATAAAAAAAATCACGTTTGGAGAATACAAAAAAAAAAAAAAAATAAATAAATAAATAAACGCGTTTACATAAAACGCGTTTTTATGTAAAAATCCTCATTTAAAAAAGTATTGGATTAATTATTAAAATTAGATTTTTACAGTGCTAATTTTCATAGAGATTAAAGAATGGTATTTTTAGAAAGATAAAATTGTAGAGAATTTGAAAATGCAAAAATCCGAAATCAAAATTTTTTGAAGATTTTTGGGTTCCAACAGCCCTTAAATAAAATTTAAGTATTATTTCAAAATAAAGTTTCATTACAGTTCGGGGGGGCATTAAGACAAAACTTAATGGAAATGAAATTAATTACCTAAAAATGCTTTTAATGCTTCAAAGCTTATGCAGATCTACATAATGTTGAGGTAATAGCAAAGGACAGCATTACTAAGGAAATATTTCTGAAAATAGTTTTCGCTTTTATTAAGTTATGATAGTTTCCAGTTATATTTAATGCGAATGACATAGATGGTTTGCGGAGGTTTTCAAAGAACTTAGAACACTCGACAGACATACAGGTCTTTTTTTGCTCGGAGATAAACTAAATCAGAGCTGTAAATGTAAATCCAGATTGATTTACAGCGGCATAATTCATGAGAGGTCGGAAGTTTTAGCTTATGATGTCAAAGGTTTCGAAACAACTGTTAGGCTATTTGATTTATTGGTAACAGGTCTAGAAAAATATCAGACGTAATTCCAGTATTCTCTTTCCCTCGATTTCTAGCTGCTTTATTACGACAGAAATTCATTTTGAGCCATAAAAATAAATTATCTGAATTTTGATTTAAGAAATATAAGCAAAGATTTATACATAAATATTAACTTTCCAAAATTAAAGGAGTTTTAAAATTTTGCGGTAGCATATTACGTTCTTCTCCCCTCAAACCTTTTAAGCAAGTGGGTTATAAATATCCTTCACTTTTTTTATAATTGACATTCTTAGGTATTAAAGCATTTGAAATGCAAACCATAATATGAGAGACATGTACATAACATATCAGTTGTTTATAATTAAGATCTAAATCTTAGTTCAATCAGTTTTCATCGAAACGTTTCGGATAACGAATGAAAGGTGACTACAGTTTCTTCCAAATAAATTTATGTTGACAGTTATGCGAAAGGATCCACCTTAAATGAAATTGACTTCCAGGAAACGCTTCTGTAGAAATTCCCTCATTCGTTTTGTGCATGGGTAAAACTCCTTGCAGTCAGACTGTTTAGTTCCATTAGAAATCCTTGAAGTTTGCCAGAATTAACGGTGCCATTGGTCACTGATAAGGAATTTAAGAACTTGACCACTAGTAAAATTAATTAGTAACGTAGAAAATAGCTTATAGAGTTTGATTTTAGTCTTTTAAACTAGCATCAAACTCCTGTAACGAATTGTCGCTTAATAGTAATATTAGTAATCATGTAATAGCAGAGTCTTCAAAAGGTTTAAAGAAGCGTTTTTATTAACCCATATTGGACCGCTCTCAAAACGTTTCGCAGGAAAAATATAACCCTTTACAGAGGTCAATAAGAGGAAGTCAGATATGTAAAAAAACTTTTCAGATATTATTTTGATTTTATTACGTTACAAGCTCAGTGCTGTTAATGTCAAAGTGAGGAAATTCATGCAAGCACGGGTAAACGGAAGGACTAACCATGTTATAGGCTGCCCTAGTAATAGGACAACGTTCCAATAAACTATTAAATTTTACAAAATCTTGCTTACTTACTGAAGAGGCAATTAGCTACATAATTTGCAAATAGTTATTGGTTTTTTTCTTGCATGTTTTTAACTGAAATCTTCTCTGTCGGTCCTTGGGATTTTTTAGAAGTGTTCGCTGCCAAGACGGAGGAGCTCTTTATTATTTTGCAGCGAACTGCGTTGCCTGATGTTGTTCCTAGGTACCACATCCCCTAAAAAACTTATGGATTTTCGAAATGTTAAAAATGTCCTATGTTTTCTCCGGGCAAACCAATTTGTAAATTTTCCATGGTGCGATGACAGTTGTTTCAAATAATTCAAGGAAAGAAGCTACAGGGGTTGGACAAAAATATGGAAACACCTTTAAAAAAACATGTTTCTTTGCTTAATATGGTGTAGGAAACCCGTTGGCATCCAAAACAGCTTGCAATCTTCTCGGAATGGATAAATACAGTTCCTGTATGTTTGCCAAGGGAATATTATACCATTCTTCCTGGAAAACGGTGGCAAGTTCAGATAACGATGTTGGCGGTGGATAACGAGAACGCCTTTCCGTTCAAATGTAGACCACAAGGTTGGATAATATTCAGGTCTGGTGACTGTGGTGGCCAGGGAGATGGGACAACTCATCCTCGTGCTCAAAATCAGTCCTGGACAATGTGAGCTGTGTGAACAGGGGCTTTGTCGTCTTGGAAGACACCATCGCATCGGGAACAAAGTTTGTACCATGGGATGAAACTTGAACGGCCAAAATGTTCACATAAGTCTTGGCAGTCATGTGCCCTGACACAGTTTTCATGGGTCTAGCAGAGAACCACGATATGGCTGCCCAAACCATCAGAACCCCCGCCATGTTTCACTCTTGGCAACAAGCAGTCTGTATTATAGGCTTGAGATGGCGTTCTCCAGACGTAACTCGGCCAGAAGGGGGGAAACAATGTGAAAGAAGACTCGTCAGACCATATTACTCGCTTCCACCACTTCTATAGTCCAAACTTTATGACTTAAACACCACCTTTTCCTGTTACGGGCATTAGCATCACTGATGAGCGGCTTCTCAATTGCAGCACGGCCAGCAATTCCCTGTTTATGAAGCTCCCTTCTAATTGTTTTGGTACTCACAGGGTTCGGTAACACAACATTCATTTCAGCAGTAACTTTTGCAGCTGTGGTCTTCTTATTTTTCGTCACAATTGCCCTTAATGATCGTCTGTCACGATCACTCAGGACACACTTTCGTCCGCGCTGTGATTTAGCAGATGATGTTTTTCCGCTTTTCAAATATGCGGAATAAATCTTCGATACAGTACCTCTTGAAACACTAAACACCTCGGCTACCTTGCTGAATAAAGCTCAGAGACAATAATAATTATTTCAGGCTC